AAAAGATGACAGATTTATGTATGTATGTACATGTTGTCATAAAGAATTTTAGTCGCAACTTTTTTTTTAAATCTGCGTGGGCATTTATGTATGCATCTATGGATTCGTAATAACGTTTGAAACCTCTTCTTTGCATCGTGTTTCTCAGTGCTGATGGTCATGACTTTTACGGGGCACTTTTTTGGACTATGTTACCTTCATTCCCTCCTTCCATTCCCTCCTGTCCAATACGTTTTGAATAGACATTATTATAAGTCTTAAAACTTTTGCCACTGCCTACCGATAGGAACTCTCCACAAGCCTAGTTTGAAGAAGGATAAGCTCGGGAAACTCCGTAGAGGAGAGCTCATTCCAAAGCCAGATGGTACGTGGTAAAAAAGTTCTTTGGAAACGTACTGTGGATGAACGCAGTGGCTCCAGGTAGTATGGATGAGCCCTACTCCAGTGACGGACGGTGCGATGGTAAAAATGAGATGATGTTATCATCTCAAACAATTCCTCAGAGCACTCCCCATGGAACATACGGTACAAAATACAGAAAGAAGTCCCTCCGCAGACCCAGAGGCTCCAAACAATCCGTGAGAATTTGATTATGGACAATCCGAACGATTCTCTTCTGTATGTATTGTCTTCTCTTCTGTATGATCTGTATGTCTACTATAGTTTTTTCTTCGGTTTGCGTGGATTGTAGATATACATAATTAAAACTACTTGTACGGTTTCATTTTGCGTTTATAATGCGTCCGTGACCACCAAAACGTAAAGTATTCGAAAAGTATTATTTGTTTTAATTATGTCTTAAAACACCTTTTCACTTTATACAATACATGTTTGACTGGCCGATGCCTACGCGCGTATTGCTGTTAGCGTGGAGCTTTATGTTACTTATGACGACGCTTGTAGCTGAAAGTAAGTATTGTACTTTTTGACGAAGCATTTTTTTTTTATTGCCCTTGTAGGCATACGAGCATACGGCCACCTGATGGTGAGTGGTTACCGTCGCCCATGGACTTCAGCAATGCTAGGGGCAGAGCCAAGCCGCTGCCTACAATTTGCTGATAACTGTATTTCTGTAATGTGACGAGGCGTGTTGCGGATAATAACATGCACTTTTAGATTCGGAATATTATGTTCTTTTTTTTATAATACATCGTTTATCAAGTTGTACAACGCACATTTGTAGTATATCTTAATAAAAAAAGTGCTTTACTGTAAAAATATGTCTGAAGAAAACAATCGATGAATTAAAATAGGCGCGCGCTTCACCGCATTATATATAGAGAGAACCCTAACAAAAGTGGAGCTACATGTTGGTTAAAGTTCAAAAAAACTATATTCGTCATAAAAATGACGAAATATTTCTTATAAATACTTGTTCTATTAAATAACTTATGTCGAATAACTATACAATGTTCACACGAACATTTTATTAGTAAGATTTATTGCGGACAAAGCATTTTAACGACATATTGGTTAATTAATTAAAAAATACGATTTAATTACCTTATTATGTTTTTGTTCATGTTATTATGGTCAATCTATGATCGCATGGAAACATGTTTTAAATAAATTCAGGGTATGTCTTCAATGAAAAACAAAGTCTATATAATAATATGTAGCATCAAGTAGTTTCTTACAGAAAAAAATATTTTGAAAATTTGTAGTAAGTACAGATCAATCAGTCTATGTCGTGGTATGGTTGCAACAAATATAAAAGACAATGGCTATAACAATTACAATAGCAAGCCGTGGGCCATAAAAGTCTCATCCTTATCACCTCTCGTAGGTGTCGTAAATATAGGATTCACAGAGATTGTACAGCAGCGTTTTCCGTGTATTAACTAACTTATCGTTGGTAGGACATTCCCGATCCTGCGGACCCAATGATAAGCTGTCGACGTCGCACTAAACACGTCATTTCGGATCCTCCCGATCCACTAACGGTGCTTTTAGGTACCTCAAGCACCGCTCATCGTTCTTGTCGAGCCGGTTGCTTAGGCTCAAGGGCTCGGCGAGTAAAGTAACGCATAGACACAGCACACTGAGTTTCTCGCCGTGTGTTCTCAGTGGGTCACGTTTTCGATCCGGTGGTAAATTCTGGGAAGCATTGATCGATGGCATTTTATGTAGATGCCACAGCAGGTGCTTCTTAATTCGATAAGGCGACGCGACATGATTATCGCGTAGCCATGACCGCCGCTAACTACTCCCCCACTCTGGTTCACGCAGAAGATGGGCATGATGGTATAATAATAAAAAATACATTCTACATTCCTTCTCTATATTAGGTAAGTGTGGGAAATTTCATACTCCTCCGGCTACGCAATTTTCGTAAAGAGGGGTACAAACAGGGCCGGATTTAGGGGAGGGCAACCGGAGCGAAAGCCCCGGATTCTTCATAAACGGAGGGCCCCCACAATAGAAACTTTGGAAAAAAAATCTTTCAAATTCCGACAAGTAAGCACTGGTAAACATATTTCCTTTGTCTTCGATATTTTTTTTCGCTCTTTTACCTTTACCGTTAAATATTAACAGAAATAATTTATCCATATACCTGGAAATTGCATTGAGAATGCATTTGGTTCTGATGGTAACAAATTGCACTGGAGAGCGCTCATTTAAAAAAATGACATTTATAAAAAAATGCCTTCGAACCACGATGGGACAAAACCGTTTATCGAAGCTTTCTCTCCTGAGCATTGAAAGCTATTTACTCCGGGAATTGGATTTCAGCGAAATCATCAACGATTTTTCGGCGAAAAAAGCTCGGAAAGTTCCGTTCGTTAACACTAAAATTTATTTTCAGATAATTCTTGTGTCCGGTTATATTTATGTATTTATGTTTGTTAAATAATAAGAGAATTTACGTGGTTTCAATTGTATAACTCGACTAAAAAAAATTGTTCATTTTATTTGGAAAATGATTTGGGGCCAGGGGGTCTCCGCTCCTCTGTTGCCCCGAGGCCTCCAGACCTAAATCCAGCCCTGGGTACAAAGCTTTTGCTTCACGTATCTTATCTTATACCTTTAAACGAGCAATTCTTGTATATATATAATCTGAATCTCGGAAACGGCTACAACGATTTTCATAAAATTTAGTATACAGGGGATTTCGGGGGCGATAAATCGATCTAGCTACGATTTATTTTCAGAAAATGTTGTTTTATTCGTGTTTCAATAATCAACTCATCTCGACATCTATTGGCGAATAATAATACTATTTTTCTTAACCGCTTTAAAGACACAACAAGAGGTCATCATATAGTTAATATACAGATAAAACTGGGTGCGGAGTGGGAATATTTATTTATCGTTATCTCTCTCGCACGTCTTGTTTTTAATGGCGGTGACGTCATCACCCATTACGTGCTTTCATATTTGGTTTTGGCAAATAATTTTTGTAGGTTAATCGTTCTTGAACTTACTTATCTCTTATAGTTATTTTTAATAGATAGCACATACATATAATTCTCAATTTTAAAATCAGATATGATCACAATTTTTATTGCATGGACCACCAGTGTGGTATGGTGAGCTAGGCGCGATGCGTATCATCCACTTGCCTATTTTTGATATAGATTTGATATGATTATAGATCAACTTTGTAATCTGAATTGACGTGAAAGTGAACTATCAATTTAATTCATCTGTTCTTTCAAACGTAAGCTTCATTATTGCTCAAGCATGGTCTAAATACATACCTACATATGTATGTAGACGATATAGAGATAGATCTATAAATGGAGACTAGACTGTAGACTAGTGTGGACTGTAATAATATGCCTTAGCCAAAGGCCTATGCTCCAATTAGTATTTGTCAAATCTATTTAACATATAAAAACGAATTGCTGTTCGTTAGTCTCGCTAAAACTCGAAAATGGCTCTACCGATTTGGCTGATTTTGGTCTTAAATTATTTGTGGAAGTCCAGAGAAGGTTTAAAAGGTAGATAAATAAGAAAGTGCGCGGTTTTTTTTTTTATCTTTTTTTATTGCTTAGATGGTTGGACGAGCTCACAGCCCACCTGGTGTTAAGTGGTTACTGGAGCCCATAGACATCTACGACGTAAATGCGCCACCCACCTTGAGATATAAGTTGTAAGGTCTCAGTATAGTTACAACGGCTGCCCCACCCTTCAAACCGAAACGCATTACTGCTTCACGGCAGAAATAGGCGGGGTGGTGGTACCTATCCGTGCGGACTCACAACAGGTCCTACCACCAGTAATTACGCAAATTATAATTTTGCGGGTTTCCCTTTTTTTACACGATGTTATTCCTTCACCGTAGAAGTCAATCGTGAACATTTGTTGAGTACGTATTTCATTAGAAAAATTGGTACCCGCCTGCGGGATTCGAATACCGGTGCATCGCTTCAACACGAATGCTCCGGACGTCTTATCTTTTAGGCCACGACGACTTCCAGTAAAAACTCCAATAAAACTTCCAATAAAAACAAACAATTTTGTTTTTCCCTGTGATGTGTCCATGTGATGAAAAGCTTAGGTCTTTTATTTATCGATTGAGGTACTACGAAGTCTGCCGGGTCAGCTAGTTGTAAATAAAAATCCATTACTCAATTATTTTCGAAACCTTTATTCTTGAGTAATTCGTTATAAATTAATTTACAAAAACCTATAATAAACATAATTATCACAACTTTCAAAACCTTCTAAGCGAAGAATTAAGTAGGTGCTTAAAGTATCACAAAACTAAATTTCTTTTTAAGCGGCCTTTTCTCTTACTAAACGATCGGACAATAAAGTAAAATGCTCGTAAATTATCATATCGACAGTTGAATTACGGACGTAGTATATGAAGTGTCTGTCAGAAAAAATCCGTCAGAAAGAACTTGGCTCATAAAAGTCCACACCAATAACCCTAGTCTACAAAAAAATCGGACTATGATTTCTGATCTTTAAGCTTTCGCCTCAAATATAGACTGACAGCCACTTCCAATACAAAAAGGACGGATTGAAAAAAAAAAACTCCATAACGAAACTTACTTCTTTGCTTCAGCGACAGCGTGAGCACTGACCTTGAGTGTCCCGCTGCTCCTCTCATAACTGTCATCTTCGTGGCTGTCGTTATAATCCTCATCGTAATATCCACTATAAGGCCTAAAGCGATACCCTCCATTAGCACCGTAGTAGTTCCCATTAAACTGGTTGTTATACGAACCGTAGCCGTTCCCAAAGTATCCTGGTCTGTAGCCGTGCCCTTGGTTACCGAAACGGTTAGGATGTCCATTATACTGATAGTTGTTTGGGTAATATCCATGGCGATTGTAACCACCGCCTTCGTTAGCAGAAGCCTGCGATTGGCTAATGGCTATGTTGATGGGATAGCCCCCCTGATGTCCTCCATATCCTTCCTGGTAGCCGCCATAGCCTTGGTGCCCTAGGTATCCTCCATATTCTTGACATAGTCCAAGCTTTTGACATAATTTCTGCGTGTGGAAGCTCCTGGGTTCTCTGAGTAAATCTGTCTTAGATTGAGCTTCGGAAGGCTCGCCTGAAATATGCAGATATAATTTTTTAAAATTATTTAGTACAAGGCGTAATTGTGTTTCAGTTCGGATTTGTACATCGCAGTCGGACAAAATTTGTTTTGTCTGAAATTTTATCTAGCTATCCCTACTTTTGGAAATAGTAGGTATATTGCTATTTACAAAATCTCATTTGACGATGGCTTACGATTAGCAGCCGCTCGTTTGCTTGCTTTCAACGTTACACAACGGACCCTGAAAATAATGAGTCAAAATCTAAATTACCTTGAACAGCAGTCCAGCTGAGCACCCCGATGATCAAGAGGAGTATCAATCTTAAATGAGACATGCTTGTGTCATCCAACGATATGTATTGTGGTATTCGGCTTGCTTTAAACAGTTTTATAGCTTGACCCTCGAGGTCGTGCCCCACGCTAAAAGACATTGAGATTTATTTGCGAAAAATCCCACGGAAGTAATCAGAAACGGTATACAATACACCATATTTGGTAATAGAACGGAAGCTCTTTTAAGGATTGTTTTGTTTTTTTAATTAAATCTAGTATTAAATTTGAATATGAATCTCATTATGTTGACGTTATTAGCAACTGTATTTAATATTAGACGTACTATTTTACAATTGTGATTTGATATTCGTAACAAAGTGATATAAGCGCGGCCTTTGTTAGGGAAAGGTTTAAACATTAAAAACGTTGGAGTTCTATGTCTACAACGTTATGAAAGAAAAGAGAGAAAAAATCATTAATAAATAGCTGATCTGATTAATGAGGAGTTGTTATAAGAACAGCGGCGTGCGTTGTAAAGATAAATAATGAGGATACAAAGAGTTTGCTTATCTACTGCTAATAGTCTCGATGGAATATGAGTTAAACAACGTGTTACAAAATACCCCGTAAAAAATATAAGTAATTATCAAAGCCAAAAATTTTGTCAACCCTAACCTTTGTAACCAGATAGATTATTTAACAGAAAGGCCTACTACGTACCTATTTTACCTAATAATTGTCTACTTGAATGGTTTTTCTATTTTTCATTCATAAATGTTTGCTACCTCAATACAAGGATGTCGTTATATTCAAGTACTGACTTAAAAAAATCTCAGGTTGGAAAAAAAAATTATGTTGTCAATTTCAAATCTAATCGATATCCTACAACTTTTTCGAGTTTATTTCAAATGTAGGTACATTCTGCATAGTTTACTCTTTAATTTTAATGAAATAGGGTTAGCACATCAGTGAAGATAATAATATTTTACAATTTTTTTGGACTATGTTATACAGCGTTACTACGGCTAACGTTAAATATTGTGAATATACTCGTAATAAGGCCTCATTTAACCTCCTTTCGGCTTTACGGGTAGTTTTGTAACACCCTGTATAAGTAAATACATATTTACTTTGATATAAACCTTACAATACTTTGAGACATGCTTTACCATTCGGTATCTGTGTTGGTGATATGGCCTATGGTAAGTCTGCACGAGTAAGTATATCGAAGCGTTCGTTCCAGTTTGAAGAGGGGGAGTGGTGGTACCCTTTTACAATATAATTCAAACTTAGGTGTCGTTTCTCACGGTGGCTCAGGTTGCTGTTTATTTTGTTATCAGAAACCACTTAATGCCAGATAAGCCAGAAACTCTTACGCCTGTTAGAAAAAAAAGAGCATTCATATGCCACTATACTGCATATATACTTAGTGACTAATATAAAACAATAAAAAAGATGATACATTAACCAGCCTTAAGAAAACTGTTTTGAAATTTCTATTTTCAAATTTTAAACATATTCGAATTTTACGACGTCGTATTTCTAGATTATAATACCATTTTGTAGACGGCTTATCAATGTAAATGATTAGAGTCAAGAAAAAGTTAAACATGTTCTAGGATTTCATTCTTGATTATTTCGATCAGCTCGTGTCAACGACCTCTCCGTATGATTTTGACTGACACAGCGTTGACCTCAAGATTGTATCATACATGCAGCTAATTGCTTTTATGGTGGCTCGTATGTTAATGTGTATTCTGATAAAAAAAAAACATGAGATCGTAAATTACATACTCATCGAGTTCTTTGTAAAGGTCAGATGTAGAGCGACGCACCCAAAACGCTATGTTAATTTTGTATACACAATGGAGGCAGAATATAAAGTTTTTGTTTGATTTAAAATCGGAAGTTGTAAATTGTCATTTAATTCATTTTTATTGGAATTTATTTTTGTACTGTTGGATGTGTAGAAGCTACAAAGCAAACAGTATAACTAATTAATAAGAAAGTAATTCTATCAGCATGTTTTTATGCTAAACAGTGAACTAATTTTCCCAAAATTAAGTTTGGAATTATTGGGATCGCCGGGAAAGAATATCGGTTATTATTTGTCATCCCAGTGCAGGATAGTGGCAAAAATTGTTTCTAGAGGTTTGATTTCCATTACCGAGTATTATAATATATCTATACTAATATTATATAGAGGAAAATTTTGTTTGTTTGTTTGTATTGAATAGGCTCCGAAACTACAGAACCGATTTGAAAATTTCTTTCACTGTTTGGAAGCTACACTATTCCCGAGTGACATAGGCTATAATCTTTTTTGAAAAAAATTAGGGATCCTTACTAAAATTTCAATAATGTAACACAAGGTGTAAAAAAATTACCTAAAATATTCTTTACGACGCTTGCCCTGCGAAAATTATTGATGATAGAATAAAATAATGTACTACGACTTTGTAGAACACATTATTAATTACAAAAAGTGTCGCGACAGTATATGTCCACCTATTATAGTTATGCCGCAATAACTGTTCTTTTATTTAAAAAAAAAAAAATTTGTTAAAGGCCCGAGCGGAGCCGGAGCGGGCCGCTAGTACTTAACACTTTGAGTTGATGGGTGTGATTTACTAAAATACAGCTCTCATAATGAATCAAAATATCAATCAATTAAACAATAATTCCAAAACTATGAAATATATCTTTTTAATTTGTGGAAACGGAAGTTGATTTCGTTGCCTTGAACGCAAAACTATAATGTTTCTTGTTTTTACTAACAATGAAAGATCGAGGACTCGAGTGGGCGTTTAATTTAATTTTAGGACCATGCTAGTGCTGATTTTATGACACTCTTCGACTAAGAAACAAGAATTTCCTCTTTCATTTTAGCAATAGTAAAGGATTTTTTTTATAGCTTAGATGGTTGGACGAGCTCACGGCCCACCTGGTGTTAAGTGGTAACCGGAACCCATAGACATGCACAACATAAATGCTGCCACCCACGTCGAAATATGAGTTGTAAGGCATCAGTTTTAACAGTAGTACGGCTGCCCCACCCTTCAAACCGAAACGCATTACTGCTTCACGACAGAAAATAGGTGGGGTGGTGGTACCTACCCGTGCGGACTCACATTTTTATTTATTTCTTAGATGGGTGGAGGAGCTCACAGCTCTGGTGTTAAGTGGTTACTGGAGCCCATAGACATCTACAACGTAAATGCGCCACCCACCTTGAGATAAGTCTTAAGATCTCAGTATAGTTACATCGGCTGCCCCACCCTTCAAACCGAAACGCATTACTGCTTCACGGCAGAAAATAGGTGGGGTGGTGGTACGTACCCGTGCGGACTCACATTTTTTTTATTGCTTTGATGGGTGGACGAGCTCATAGCTCACATTCCTGGTGTTAAGTGGTTACTGGAACCCATAGACATCTACAACGTAAATGCGCCACCCACCTTGAGATGTAAGTTCTAAGGTCTCAGTATAGTTACAACGGCTACCCCACCCTTCAAACCGAAACGTCATCGTTCAACACGAATGCACCGGACGTCTTATCCCTTAGGCCATGACGACTTCCAAAATAAACCACATGAAATGATAATTAATTATTTAATCGTATTTTCATTTTTGACGTAACATTAATCAACAATGGTATCTATAGTTTTTAAATGGAATAACGCAACAGTTCCTTAGCCACTAGCCTTAGCTATGGCAACAGCTATGGCATCACCAGACCCACTTTTCGCATTGCTGATGGCTGAGCTGTCGCTTCGGCTGCAAGTACTGCATCCGCTGTTTGGAAGCTGTTGGTTACGTTCCCACCTTGGTGAGGGTGGTGGCGGGACTCGTGGAGGTGGAGGGGGCGGGGCATGTGGAGGTGGCGGAGGAGGCTGTGGATGAAGATTAGGGGGAGGTGGAGGGGGCGGGGCATGTACGGGTGGCGGAGGAGGCTGTGGACGTAGATGGGGGGGAGGTGGAGGCGGTTGAGGATCACATTTACCATAAGGGGAACGTTTCAGTCGCTGTAGAAGTAGTCCGTTTTCAACTCCATCTTTAGAATCTGTTGATTAAAAAGAAATGTCCTTTGTAAAATACAAATGTTTAAAATACAAGTCTTTCTCTCTATCTTTCTGTGTATGTGTGTGTATGTGTATGGTGTGTGTACAAAAAATAGTGACATTAAATAAAATATAAAATGAACACTACAATTCGTTTATTTTATTTTCATTTAAATTGATGCTATTGAACATTATTAAGAACGGAATTTCGAAGCAGCGTTTCTAAAAATTGCTACAGTAAAATAGTTTTTATAAAGTGCAACCGAAGATTTCATTTTCAACTGTCGTTTATCATCGAATTTGTGACAAGAAATACAATTAATATTTAAAATAATAAATCGGCTCACGCTGCTCACCTGCAAACGATTGTTGTAATGCAACAGTAATGTAAACGATCACAACAATACCAGCTCGCCACATCATCTTAGATTATTATGATGAGAAACTTATAAAATTGACGGTTTTTATACGATTCTTGTATCAACACATATCCCAAACAGTACTTCGATGGTAAATAATTCTGCAAATATCGTGTTGTAGTGTTAATTAATTCAAATCGATTAATACGTGAAGCAAAAACTTTGTATCCCTTTTTACGAAAATTGCGCGGACGGAGGAGTATGAAATTTTCCACACTTATAGAGAATATAGAGAAGAAGTGTACAATGCTAAAATTATAAATAGTGCATAAAATATACATTAAATCAATAAAGAAAACATTACACACACTACCATGTATTTGACACACACACGCATGCATACTATTTGTTTATTGTCAAACTTTTCTTTGCAGTCTGTCAGTTATAGTTTTTCAAATTGAGAATAGATTAAATATTGTTTTCTCTTTACTAATATTTGTCTAACTAAAGTGTAGTTTTGACGAAATCTGTGACTAAAGAAGTATTTAATAGTCTTTGACAATAGAATCATAATAGTGTACAAACTTATAATTTCCATTAGTTATAGTCGAATTTCGACTACCAGGGAACCACTAGTTAATTCATATCGACGATTTTTGTGTACCTGCCCATGCGCCGATTGTTCACTGATTGAACGCGGTCGCGGCGCGCAACTTTCTTATGTCTACCGCTCAATTCGTTTCAATTTCAAGGGAAAGGATAGTTAACATAGAAAAATAAGTCAGAGGCCTGCTTGATATTACATCACAAGGAGTATGAGGCTGCCCTTTGTAGACATAAAAATAAAGTTAAGTATATTTAAAATTGAAGGAGACAAGATTAAAATTATAATCTAAAGGCTGCTATTAAAATCGGAATATGATTGTTCCAGTTAAGGCCTGATGAGAAATATCGTACCTACCTACGTGGGCTTACCATGTGTGCAGACATTACCGGTATTACAATGGTAGCTTCACAATTTGTTGTAATACCATAATCGTAGTCTTCAACTATGCAGGGGTTCGATCGTCAGATATTTTTTTGTGAATATTCAATGTATCTATTATGGGCTCACTATCGTCTACCAATTTTAAGGAACAATGTCGTAATTACTGATAACTTTTTTTTTCGGGCATGGGCCGTACCTCATACGAAGTGTCCGCGCCTAGGAGGCGTGCTGGGTAAGCAGTACTTGACGGTTTGCGTTTGTTGGGAGCAGACCGCGGGCCCAAGGTCACCCCTTGCACTCTCTCAGCTGACATCCACTCTCCGCCCGGGGTTAGAACCCAGGCAGAGTAAGAGGGTTCCAACTGTTAACAATAAATCCATACTCCCTGCGGCACCCCTAGGACGCCCAGCAGTTCCGTAGAACTACTTCCATACAATGCACTAGAGTGGTAATTACCGAAACCTACCTAATTAAGTGTGTCATTGAATATCCTTTTTGAAAGTGAATATATAAACTCTAATATCAGCTCAAGAAGAACCACAACCCTAGGAAGAACCGAAACTGACTTAGTGGACCTTCGGGATAAATAAAAGTTCTACGGAAGAGCAAATTAAAAGTATATTTAACTTATAACACTTAACAAACACTTTTAAATTCTCAATTCACTTCTTCCGCTTTGCTTCAGGGGATCCGTACGCTGTTTCGCTTCGAGTAGTTCCGATTACTAACTGATTTCATGCCATCTTTGCAACGCGTTTATAGTCGATACGACATCCCTAGATTTATGGAGAACATTGTAGGCAAGTCGAGTAGCTTCGAGTGTGTTTCCGCTATCTGACAATAGATGGCGTTGTACCTCTCGAGAGTTGTAACTATACCAGCCGCTGTAACTATACTGAAACCTTAGAACCCATATCTCAAGGTGGGTGGCGGTATTTAAGTTGTATGTCTATGGGCTCCGGTAACTACTTAACACCAGGTGGGTTGTGAGCTCGGCCAACCGTCGTCTATACAATAACAAAATAAAAAAATAAAACTCGAAATGTAAACAGACATTTTGAAATTTCCGAGTTAACCCAAGAAAATTTAGACAGTTTTGTGTTAATAAAAAATGTACTTATTTAATAATTAACAACATTATAATTAAAAAGCANTATGTCTATGGGCTCCGGTAACTACTTAACACCAGGTGGGTTGTGAGCTCGGCCAACCGTCGTCTATACAATAACAAAATAAAAAAATAAAACTCGAAATGTAAACAGACATTTTGAAATTTCCGAGTTAACCCAAGAAAATTTAGACAGTTTTGTGTTAATAAAAAATGTACTTATTTAATAATTAACAACATTATAATTAAAAAGCAAAATGTTTTTGTGGAAAATATTTAATTCGAACCAAAGTTCCAAGTTTCTTGTTTTTCTATTTAATTATGACAATACATTAAAGTGTAGGGTAATTAAAAATGCAATCATCTGTAAAGTAGATCAGGAAAAATTACCCCCGGTCATGTGGCCCCAACCTAGGATCCCCTCTACTGTGGGAATCAGCCATTGATATTAGTTTAAAAATAACCCTTTACGCTTATGTACCTTTTATGTCAAGATATTTAATTACTAGGATGTCGGTAGCTTCAGTAGCCACTGCCAGCTGATGCTTTGGCCACAGCTACTGCGACAGCACCTCCACCGTATTGTCCTCTGCCGCAATGATCACAGCCGTTATCATTCGTATACCAGTCATATCTAGGAGGCGGGGGCGGAGGCGGTGGTGGCCAATATGGCGGGGGCGGAGGAGGTGGTGGCGGGGGTGGTGGCCAAAATAGCGGGGGTGGAGGAGGTGGCGGCGGCGGTGGCGGTGGAAATAAACCAAGGCCAAAAAATGGCGACCTTTTCAATCGCCGGATTAAAAGTCCACGATCCGCTGTGTCTTTTGTAGTAACTGAAATAAAAATATTTTAAAATTATTATCTCTTTATTTACTCAAGTAATATTTATACATTGCTTGACACCGGCCTATACCAACGTGTGGGCCGGACCTTTTTTTAAAGTCTTGGGGCCCATTTCCTGCTGCGCTAACATAATAATATGCTTAGTTAGAAATCCAAAATATATTGATAAGTATGTACATACAAGACATATAATGAAACAAAAGTTGTTTTGTAATGACCACCTTAATATATACATCTGGTTCCTTCACTTCATGAAATACAAAATGCTACTTCGCGAACAACTTAATACCAAATGGTTCTTGAATTGGAATTACCAAACAAAGCATAGAATAAAAAGGGATTGACGTTGACGCGTCTAATCAAACCTCTGAAACATTGTTAAGACAGAAACGAAATCAAATTGTGATTGCTTTATATGTAATCCAGAATGTTATTTTTGTTTCAAAAGCAATAGCCATGTCAAACAAAATAGTAAAACACTAATTTCTGCCCATATTAAGGAAATAATAATTCACTTTTTTTTTGATTGGGGATATATGAAAATTATTTCCGACTCACGTTTTTCCTCGGCCGCGCAGAGTTCGAATAGTAAAGCGCAATAAAACACTAAAACAACTGAACGCCACATCTTGATGACATGTTTTGTTATAAAACCACACACGTCTCATTATATACGAGTATGTACGTGTCAAAATATCATTATTAATTCGTACCAAAATTTCCCGGCAACAAATATTAGCGCACGCTAATTGTTCAGATAAACGTTCAGTGCTAAATCGTATGGCGTAAATTCCTTGTCGCGTGTTTGTTTTCGGCTACGAAATATGTACTAATCAAAAAAGAATACGAACATCTCTCGATCGGGAGTTTATAAGTGAAATAGAGCATGTGAATGCAATTTATCTATTTCACTTGGAGCCATTCTCTATTCAATTCCTTTGAAATGTCTTTTAAGCTATTGCATAGCTTTTATTGCGGGCTTTGAGCGCGGCGACCGAATCAAGAAATTCCGTAACAAAAATGAAACCTAACACCCCCTTCTCCGCGTACCATGTAGCTCGCGTTCAACACATTCACACGTTGCGCTTGTGTAGTGTATGTGAATAAGCGCGCGGCGTGACGTCACACTGCATGCGCATCACGAAAAGTCTGTCCATCTCTCTCTCGCGCGGTCTAGCTTATGAGTGTGGAGGGGAGGGACAGTTAATGTTTTGCATTTGTTAATGTTTATAAATATAGCGTGGTCTTATTTTTTATTGTTTTAATATTAAATTTATGTTTAATTATAAATGCATAAGTTGATAAAAAATGCTATGCAATAGCTTTACCGCGGCAGTCCGGGTGCTACACGTGTTTTTTTTCTACCTATGCTGATAGCCTTGAGAGGCTATTTCAGCTTCTCCTTGACGATTAGGTGAGTTCACGGGGCTCAAACTGGGAGTATTGTTAACACTAGCCCTTTTTTTTTTTTTTTAATGCTGGGGAATCCATTTACGGATACCCGGTCGAGAGGGGTAATAGACCCGGTTATGTCGGACTCCGGCGCCTCCAGAGAAGAAGAGGGAGAAGAGGAAGACCAAAGTCCTCCTCTTCTTCCAATTCCTACCGGGAGACTACGCCTTGAGAAAGGCGCGCGAGGCGCTGCGCGGCGTCTTCCACGCAGGACCCGCCCCGCAAAACCGACTACCGACTAAACCACATCGAGCTCCACCACTCCGACTCCACGAAACCTACGGTAGCGCACAATGCGCGCCGCAGGCTCGCCGTCGCCGGTACCCGTCCTGACAATAGGACGGGATCCAATCCCCGGGAAGATCCCGCAGGACGTCGTCTCGGGAGACACCGTGAGTGGCGCATAGGAGCCACCTTGCGCCGCCTCACCACGGAACCGACAGCAGAGCACCGGGCGCCCCCGCACCCAGTACCCAACAGTCCCTACGGGAGATTANGGAGCCACCTTGCGCCGCCTCACCACGGAACCGACAGCAGAGCACCGGGCGCCCCCGCACCCAGTACCCAACAGTCCCTACGGGAGATTAACGGGAGCATCGTGCCCGCGTCGCCCACCCCGCCTTCTTCGTTGAGGAGCCGAAGAAGGATTCCACTCCCTTTCGCGCTCCTCAGCCTCGCGGAACGCCATGACCAGGTCGCAAAATCTGGCCATGGCCTCCCACGAACTCTCGTCCTCTAGCCTGCGGGCAATGACAGCCCGCAAGGAGAGGTCCCTCCCCAGCACCGCGATGAGATTTCGCCGCGGGTGCTCACAACGCGGGCACGCTTCGAGTGCGTGCTGAGCATCATCATCCGGATGCCCGCACTGGTGACAACCCGGATGTGGCTCTCTCCTGCAAACCCTCCACAGGTACCTCCCGAAGCAGCCATGCCCCGAGGGGACCTGCGTAAGGCGGAAGGAGAGCACGCCGTGTCGCCGATCTGACCATGTCTCCAGCACGGGCACCAGGGCCTCGAGAGTGCGCCGGCGGGTGGTTGAGGTTTGATGAAGTTCTTCCAGCAACCGCTCCCTCCATTTAGCGTACGCCAGATGACGCGCAGCACGCCTCCACTGACTGACAGCCGACAGGCCGGGTGTCCGTCCCCGACTCAGGGACTATGTCCTGCGCCGGTATACCGTAGCCTATACCTCGGCCTCGAGATCGCAAGGAAGGGAACCTGTGAGGGCGCAGGCGACCTCTCGGGAGATCGTACGGTACCCCCTGATGACTCTGTTAACACTAGTCCTAGCAAGAGCAGTTCTTCGCAGAATCTACCGCCGGACCGGAAACGCGACCCACTGAGAAAACTCAGTGGGCAAAATGTCTTTCTTCAAACGAGGCTTAAAGATGTCGGGGGTAGTTTTTTCTTAAATAGCGTAGATTTATGTACGAGCTCACGCCTCGTCTAGTGTTCAATGGTTATCGCAACCGGTTAATTCACATTTTTCAAAACCGGAAAGTATTACTGCTTCGCGGTTAAAAAGGGCAAAGGGGCGTCCTCCCACCAACAGCGCATTGGCTGTGTTTTTGGCATTCCTGTAGTCCATGAGCGACGGTAACCACTTATCGTTGGGTGAGCGAATGGGATTAAGCGTTAGCTATCTTACCTCCTTCAATTTTTCAATTAACTTTGTATAGATGCTTACACAGATAACATAGGTACCTTATCTTAGGGAAGCGACAGAGCGCTACTTTGAACGAGCGGCGCGGCACGATAACCCTTCTACCTATCTGACCCAGGCGACGGAGCAAACCGAAGCCGCCGTAGACCAAAACATGTCTTGTCGGATCCCCCGGACTCACTCTCGGCGCTTTTAGGTCTCTCAAGCACCGGTCACCGACGAAGAGTTCGTCAGACACAGCTCACTCAGTTTCTCACCGGATCTTCTCAGCAGGTCGCGATTCTGATAGTAAATTCAGCGAAGTACTGCTCTTGCTAGGGCTATTGTTGGCAATTCTCTCAAGTTGAGCCCGTAAGTTCACCCACCGGTCCGCGTGAAGTTGGAATAGCCCGTTAGGCCACCAACGATTAGGAAGGGAAATCCGACCGCATACGAATTTAAAAGAGAATATCATGAATGTAGTCGAAGTTAATTAAATAGAGATAGCTCGAATTTTATACTAATACTGATCAGATCATCATAAAATTTAAAAGGGATCACATCTGAGAAGCACAAGCTTCGAAAAAAAAAACTTCAAAATCAGTTCACTTTAAAAAAAAAACTGATGTTGTAATACACATAAAAAACTGATAACCTCCTTCTTTAATACGGTTGTTCCGTTTTTTAATACAAACTGAAAAGAAAAAAATGTTTTTGAAGTTCAAGTGAATCTTCTTTAGGCGCGTTGAGAGTAAAATTTAACTTGTGACAAATTCGTTACGTCCAGACAGAAAAGATACAATTTAGGATGAGCTCTCCCGAACCATTCGACTTTGGAGAGAGGGAAAGGACAAAGTGAAGAGAAATTTGATTTAAGGATGAAAAATGAGGAAAATCACCATACTACACACCGCAAAGAAGTTTCATATCTTTCACAAGCACCAAGTTGAACGCGTACCAGTTTTTTTTTCCGCATTTCATTCTTCTGTTCGTTGTTCTGAGCGTTTTGAATTTCAAGTCTAGTACCTCATCATGAAGTAAGCTTAACTTAACCTCAACTCAATTCAACAAACTCAACTCAATTACAAATTGTCATCCAAAAAGACATGTAAGAGAGACGGTTACTAAAAACAATGATAAATGAATAATGGCTTTGTTTGTCTGTATTCTAAATGTTGACAGTTCGTGGAAGTTTTTTGTTATAGTATAATTGTTATATGTATTCAAATAATAGTCAAGAATACTCTTAAGCGATTAGGGCTCTATTTCGTATAATATCAATTTCACTAATCTATACATATAAATAAAATTGGAGTGTCTGTTTGTAATATTGGAATAACCGCTTTTTACTACATGCATATGAATATACATACATATATACGGCACATACACCAATATAATTTTTTTTACAATTTTTGTCTGTCTGTCTGTCTGTTTGTTCCGGCTAATCTCTGGAACGGCTGGACCGATTTTGACGAGACTCTGACTGATAGGTAGCTGATGATATAAGGAGTAGCTTAGGCTACTTTTTTTAAGACTAGCTTCGCCCCGCGGCTTCAGCGGGACTCAGCTATCAATAATAAAATTTAATGTTTCCGAAGCGAAGCGAGGGCGGTTCGCTAGTAATAACTAATAATGGTATTATATCTCCAACCTATTTTCTTTTAAGTACAATCCAACGATATTTCATGATTTATTTATTTATCGTATGGCATTCGTTTACACAGCGTGGTACGCAATTGAAATTTATAATAATATTATTATAAACGTATAATTGAAATTTACAGTTTGTGATTAGGGTTTTATAATTGACGCAGTGTAGTTGGAACCGGGAGATCCTCAGGAGGACAGTTCGGTTGCCAGGTTGTTGCACTATTAGCACCACCCAGGGGTCACGTGTAGGGTAGCGGTGGGTAATCTCCTACGGACGTTATGCAACTTCGACCCCTATTATTTTATGATTTAAAAGAATCATAAAATGAAACAGCTAATTTTGTAAAATCTATTTATTTACATCATAAAATTATTAATTCAACCTTTGTATTCAGGAGCTTTTGATTACGTCTGTAACATTGATTCTTTTAATTAGAAAGCAAAGAAATTTCATTACTTAAAAGGATTATAAAATGAAACAGTAATTTTTTTTTAAATCTATTTATTTACATAGTAAAATTATTAATACAACGTTTGTATTCGGGAGCTTTTGATTACATCTGATTTAAAATTTTAATTTCTATTGGCTTTTGCTATAGCAACTGCAATAGCGTCCCCAGTGTTACTCTTAGCGTTACTAATTGCTCCACTGTCTCCTCTTCCGCCGCATGTGTCACATCCATTGTTTTCAGGGAAGTACTCGTATCGCGCTGGTTGTGGTGGTGGTGGTGGGGGCGGTGGCGGTGGCGGTGGCGGTGGTGGCGGCGGAGGCGGAGGCGGCGGCCAATATGGCCGTGGTGGCGGCGGCGGCGGGGGCGGGGGTGGCGGCCAATATGGCCGTGGTGGCCAGTGATGGTGTGGTCGTCGTGGTGGATAATAGC